GGGGTGGAGGGGGGGGGGGTGGTGGGGGTGGTGGGGGTGGAGGCTGGGTTGGGGGGGTGGGGGGGGAGGTGGGTTGGTGGGGGTGGAGGGGGGGTGGGGGGTGGGGGTGGGGTGGAGGTGGAGGATGGGGATGGTCTGGAAGGGCAAGGTGGTAGGGATGGAGGTGGGTTGGTGGGTGGGAGGGGGTGGGGGTGGAGGTAGGGGGTGGAGGGGTGGGGGTGGGGGTGGAGGGATGGGGGTGGATGGGGTGGAGGTGGAGGTGGAGATGGGGGTGGGGGTTGAAGGGGTGGAGGGGGGTGGAGGTGGGGTAGGGGTGGAGGTGGGGGTAGGGGTGGAGGTGGGGTAGGAAAGCGTGTGGGAAGGTACGTTTGCGTTGTTGTGTATGTGTGGGGGTATTTGTGTTTGTGTGTTTGTGTGTCTGTTGTGTGAGCGTGTGTTGTGTGTGTGTATGTGTGGCTGTGTTTTGTGTGTGTGTGTATGTGTGAGCGTGTGGTTCTGTGTGTGGATGTGTGAGCGTGTGTTTGTGTGGTTGTGTGTGAGGCGTGTGTTCGTGTGTGTTGTATGTGTGATTGTGTTTTGTGTGTGGTGGTGTAGCGTGAGTTTGTTGTGTGTTGTGTGGCGTTGTTCTGTGTGATTGTGTGAGCGTGTGTTTGTGGTGTGTGTGTGAGGCGTGTGTTGTGGTGTGTGTATGTGTGGGCTTGTGTTTTGGTGTGTGTGTGAGGTGAGTTTGGTGGTGTGTATGTGTGAGCGTGTGGTTCTGTGTGTGGATGTGTGAGCGTGTGTTTGTGTGTGTGTGTGTGAGCGTGTGTTCGTGTGTGTGTATGTGTGAGCTTGTGTTTATGTGTGTGTGAGCGTGAGTTTGTGTTTATGTGTGTGTGAGCGTGAGTTTTTGTTGTGTGTAATGTGTGAGGTGTGGTTCTGTGTGTGGAGTGTGAGGTGTGTTTGTGTGTGTGTATGTTGTGAGCGTGTGTTGTGTGGGTGTATGTGTGAGCTTGTGTTTATGTGTGTGTGAGCGTGAGTTTGTGTGTGTATGTGTGAGCGTGTGGTTCTGTGTGTGGATGTGTGAGCGTGTGTTTGTGTGTGTGTGTATGTGTGAGCGTGTGTTCGTGTGTGTGTATGTGTGAAGCTGTTTGTTGTGTGTGGTGAGCGTGTGCTCGTGTGTGTGTATGTATGAGCTTGTGTTTATGTAGCGTGAGTTTGTGTGTGTATGTGTGACGTGTGGTTCTGTGTGTGATGTGTTGGGCGGTGTGTTTGTGTGTGGTGTGTGAGCGTGTGTTCGTGTGTGTGTATGCATTGGGCTTGTGTTTGTGTGGTGTTGAGCGTATGTATATGTTATTTGTTTGTTTAAAATGTATGTTGTCTGCTTGTTTGTGTGGAGTGTTAATGTTGTTTGCATGAGCGGCTTTGTTTCTGTAAGTGTATTTGTTTGTATGAGTGCATTACTTTTACTTTTTTTTATTTTTGTTGTATCGAGTATTTTGTCTATTTGTCTAAGCGCTTTTACTTACTTGTATGAGTAAATTTACTTGTATTTTTGATAACAATTTTTTTTTTCATGTGCATGGACTAGAGTAAACTTTGGAGCTCAAAAATTGTTATGACCTTTTTCGTCATTATCATCATTATTCTCGTTAACAATAGCTTATCCCTCCTTCTCAAAAAAGAAAAAAGAAGAAGAAAAGAAAAGAAAAGCAAAGAAAAATAAACGACATTGGATTATCTCCGGCGGGAAGAAGGGTGGGAATAGAACGAACAAGAAAGATGGAGAGAGCAGAGTGAGAGAGAGAAGAATGAGATAGAGAAGAGTGAGATAGAGAAGAGTGAGAGAGAGAAGAGTAAGAAGAGGGAAGAGTAGAGAGAGAAGAGTAGGAGAGAATAGAGAGAGAGAAGAGAGAGAGAAGAGAGAAGAGAGAGAGAGAGAGAGAGAGCGAGAGAGAGAGAGAGAGAGAAGAGATAGAGAGAGAGGAGAGAGAGAGAGAGAGAGAGAGAGAGAGAGAGAGAGAGAAGAGAGAGCGAGAGAGAGAGAATAGAGAGAGAGAGAGAAGAGGAGAGAGAGAGAGAGAGAGAGAGAGAGAGAGAGAGAAGAGAGAGAGAGAGAGAGAGACGAGAGAGAGAGAGGAATAGAGAGAGAGAGAGATAGAGAGAGAGAGAGAAAGAGAAGAGAAAGGAGAGAGAGAGAGAGAGAGAGAGAGAGAGAGAGAGAGAGAGAGAGAGAGAGGAGAGAGAGAGAGAGAGAGAGAGAGAGAGAGAGGCGAGGAGAGTGAGTGAGAGAAGGAGAAAGAGACCTCTTCGGGCTCGTTCTCACTAATGCGACTTTGGGTGCTCTGAACATCACACCAGAAAAAAGTTATTAGAAGTTGTCCACAAGAAAGCCTTGGATCCTGATGACATTAGACTCCCCCGCGTCCTTAAAAGATGTGCGTCTCACCTGGTGCACCTCTTGTAAGTATTTTCCGGAGACGCCTGGCCTCTGGAAGTGGCCATCCCGTTGGGAGGAGGCAAGGGTGGTAGTCATTCACAAAAAGGCACGAGAACCGACCCTAAGAACTACAGACCTATCTCCCTCCTCTCAGGCCTTTGAGTCCATCATGGCCGACAAAATTAGGTCGTTCCTTACCTCTCAGCATCCGGTCAGCAACAAGCAATTCAGGTTTCGGACAAACAGGTCAGCAGCTGACTTGCTGCTCCACATGTCCAGAACTTGACACAAGGCCCCTGACCAAGGCAAGGGCACCTTCATAGCGCTCGCCACTGCAGGGGCATTCGACAGATTTGGCATCTCGGGAGTGCGCGGCGATTTCCCCGCCTCATGCAAGGCTACCTGAGAGGTAGATCCCTCAAGGTAGCACCGAACGGTCGCACCTCGGAGGAAACCCGATAGGCGTCAGTGTGCGCAGGGTAATGTCCTCGGTCCACTCCTCTTTTTAAAGACTGCTTCGCCTTGTCCCAGAGGCACGTGCCTATGCTGGCAATGCCGATCATCATGCTACCGTCGCACACATGAACCAAGTTCTTCAAACCATCGTCTCATGGGGTAGACGCTGGCAAGTTGATTTAGCTCCAGATAAAACACAGCTAATGCTCATATCTCTACATCAGCGCACCCTTGTGGTGGAAGGGGAGAACCACTACAGGCATCCAGCACCATCCTGGGTGTGAAAGTCATCGATACCCTGATATTCACTAATCATCTTCGTAACGCTGCCAAGAAAGCCGCGTGGAGACTGAGCTGTGTGCGGTGAATCTCTCACCTCCTGGATGCCCGTGGCATTTCCGCCATGTATGCAGCTCTTGGTCTTTCTGTAATGGAACACGCACCCCTCGCATGGTCTTCCTCCCCACGATCGTACCTCAGCCTCATAGACATGGTACAAAGCAGACCCAGCAAATGACTCGTCAAAAAGCCCAACCCAAGCCAACCGCCCCCTCGCCTGCAACCCTTGCAGCAACGACGCGACGTAGCGGGCCCGTGTGACCGTTACAAACGTGCACGTCGCAGCCCTCCAATATCGCTTCGCTCCGACGGCCGTGGGCAACGCAGCGCGACAACGCAACTTGGGCTGCCGACGCCAGGACCCAACAGACCGCTGTCCCCTTCGCCAGAACAGAGACCTTGCGATCCCTCCTTCTAAAGTACACAAGAATATGTTGCCGCTTGGTACAGCAAACACAGCTACATCCTACCACATCATTACAAACTTTCAAAGCCTTAGCAAATACCTGGCTGATGAACCTGCAAATAAACGTATTTTCCCGTTTAGATTAGTTATACATTTTCTATCACATAAACGTGGAAGCCAAAGATAGTTTCCAGCAGCCTGCTGGGGACGCCTGGGCTCCTTGTTTGCTTAAGGCTATAACTACTTGCATAGTACATTTTAATTACTATATATATATTAACTT